TGTTACTAAAGATCATGGAGTTATCCCGAGGATAAGAGGTCCTTTTCTGAGTCTGATTACATTAGATTATATTAGCGGAGGATCTGATCTTCAAGAGTTTAGTTTTCACTTAATGAGAAGGAAATGTATTTGTCTTAATAAGAGTGGGGAAAAATCAGAAGAGGAAAGGAATACTTCCAGACCAGATCCTGGTAAAATAATCTGCAGATAGATGGACTGTAGCAGCATTTCCCCCTCTTTTCATACACAGGAACATGCTTTCCTTGGGGAGGTCACAACCATGGACCCAGGCATTAGAAGGTGTGACGGGAGAAAAGACAATGAATGCAACACCCTTGCTCCACTACTTTGAGCCCTTATATCAGTGGCTGCAAAAGAATAACACCAATAGGCGCATTGGCTGGAATACAACCTGGACACCATGTATGTAGCTCTTCAATATATACAGTTCAGGAAATGTCATGATACTTTTCTCCCATTCTGTGAAGGTTCCTGGAGTTGGGAGTAGAGGGTAAAGGTTAGAGTTTTCATTGAATAACAAGGAAGTCAGTATGTGCAGAGACTGTGGGCACATACACACAAGATGCTTAATGCACAATAGGCTAATTCTAGTATGCATTGGCGTGTCACGGCAGAAGCCATGCTAATGCACTAATGCACAGTAGAATTAGTCTATTGCTCATTAAACATCATGAAAAGACCATGTGCTGGTGCTACTGCACAGTAGTGCCAATTACTGCACATTTAGTGAGTATCTCATAGCAGAGGTACTAAACTTCATGCGCAGTAACAATGGCACATCAATGCACGTATAGATGCGCTATGTGTTGCTGTCAACTACTGTGATTGACATGGGTAGGTCTAGGATTTAGCAAAGTGGGGTGGCATATGTGGCATGGACCATGTGGGGGGTAGAGACAAGGTGTAACTGGAGTCCTCAGACCAGTGGGGGACACTGGGAAGGCGGGCAGGGAACAGGCTTATGAAGATGGGGGACTTGCCCACTCTCTTCACATGTTGCCATGTCTGCTGTCCCCAGAAGTATGGGGATACCTCCAGAGCTGTTCCTGCCCTGTTACAGCCAAGGGCTGTGCAGAACAGCTGCATGGGAAGCTGGACTCATCCAGGGACAGGCAGGGTGACAGGCAGGTTCCTCCTTCCAGCCCCTTTTCCCTGCTTGCTACCCAGGTGTCCCTTGCTGGCTGGGAAGCAAGCCCTGGAAGGAGGAACCTGCACACTGCTGCTGCTTTCCCTGGCCAACCCCAGCAGCCCATACAGTTGTTTCCGGCAGCTTGTGGTGGGAGTGGCTCATGAGCAGCTCTGAGGCACTAAGGCACTGGGAACAGTCAGCTGGGAACAACAGTGATTGGGGGCAGGTTCCTCTTTCCAGTGCCTTCCCCAACCAGTGGGGGTTATAGAGGATGGCAGAGAGCAAGTGCAGAAAGAGAAAAGCCACCTGCTACTGCCACTGTCTCCAACTGAGCACTTTACATAGCTGTTCCACACAGCTGGAGCAGGACAGGAGTGGCTCGGGGGTTCCTCCTGCACCCTGGTCAGCCAGGGACAGTGGTAGTAGAAGGAGGGGTGCGACTGTACTGCTGCACTCCCCTTGGATCCACCCTGAGCAATGCTTGATATGATTCTAAGAAATAGAACTTTTGACCTTGGTAATGAATATATTGACAGAGGGGCAACTTTTAAAGATATTCCTTTTCATATTGGCTGCCTCCAAAACTCAGTATGCATAAAAAGAGAGAGGGACAAATGATTGTTTGAGGCTGCAAGGTTTTGCAAGCGCAATTAATCTGGGCCCAGAAAGGACTGAGCTAGCTCTGCCATGCTCTCTGCCCTAGCTGGAGGTAATTGGGCACTGGCTGAGTCATCCCTAGGGCTCTCAGGAAGAAGGCCCAAGGCCCACTGGCCTAGATAACTTCAGACTCGACAGCAGAGAGCTGTTTGAGCAAGCAGATTGAGGTGCTGTTTCTCTTGGTCTTCTGGAACTCTGCTAACCCGCTTGCTCCTTCCTAGATCTTGCCTGAATCTTGCCTAGTTTAATCACAAGAGAAGGCTGAGAGGGGATATGGTGGCCGTCTATAAACTGGCCAAGGGAGACCAGCAGGCAATGGGAGAGTCCCTGTTGCCCTGAGCACTACTGGGAGTAACAAGGAATAACGGCCGTAAGTTGACAGACAGTAGATTCAGTCTAGATATCAGGAGGCACTAAACAGTCAGGGCGGCTAGGATCTGGAACCAACTTCCAAGGGAAGTGGTGCTGGCTCCTACCCTGGGGGTCTTCAGAAGGAGGCTAAATAGACCCCTAGCCAGGGTCGTTTGACCCCAGCATTCTTTCCTGCCATGGCAGGGGGTTGGACTTGATGATCTTCTCAGGTCCCTTCTGACCCTACCAACTATGAAACTATGAAACTATAAATCCTTTACCTTGATCCTTGCCTAAAATCCTGCCTGCATTTTTGTCTAGCCTGAACCTGTGCAAACCAGCTTGTAATGCTAAGTGCCATTTCCTTTCTTCTCTCCTTTGCTGGCTATCTTAAAAAAGTGGGACTCAAGAAAGAATTGTAAGAACTGCAAGATACTTTATTCAATGCACTGGAATCCTACCCAAGGCTGTCAGTGTAATGCTGAACTACTAAGCCACACCACCAGAGCTGCAGTCAGTATGCAGCACAACCTAGTGGCCGAGTACAGAGTAGTGTCTACCACTATTTTGTGAGAAAGTAAAATGTATTGATAAAAACCCATCACTTCAGCACTAATGATACCAGGGAGCAGCTTTGTAGTATTGACTTTGCAACTCTGATGCAATGCTTGTTTCTTTTAAAAACAGATGCTGCCAATGCAATCAAAGTACGGATCAGTCTGAAATCAGCACTCGGAGACAAGGCAGTAAGTACTTAGGTACATCGTTCTGGATGGGGTCTTCTGGAATAGACTCAGACCAATATATTACTGTAGTTTTTTTAATTTCCTGTTTTGTTTTAACAGTCATAGGGCAATCTGGTAGTATCAAGTTACATCTTATACAGTAGGCACTGGAGTCCCTCTGGAAAAGTCATATATCAAGGGCCAGATAATATTCTACCTATTAAGAACATAAGTACAATGCAATTGTATTTCAGCCTACTAAATCCTCTGAAAAACTGTTCATGCAAAGTGGGTGTGCTTACCTCCTGCTTGCTGCTTCCTGTGAGTCTGAAGTCTAAGGTGAGGCTGTGTCATGAAGGTCAGCATGTTTATGTTCATTCAGAGGCCTGAGCAAGGTGCAGTAGTTGGCACCTAAGTGCATTTAGGCACCTAACAGGTCCCAGGTCACTTTTACTTCTAGCTTTTTGTCTGACTATTTACTGTAACCTTTCCAGGCTCACATAAACTCTGCTGCCCTCATTCCCTCCTTTGTCTACTACCCATGTGCTGAAATATCTTGTCTGTATTTGTTATGGGATTTAGAAACAGTGAAGCAAAGGAAGGCATCTCCCTTAATAAGCATTGACTCTTGACTGCTTCAGCCCACCTACTTAAGCTAAATGTCTGGTTGAGGATTTTCTCTTTATTGTAATTCCCTTTTTATATTATTCACAAAAGTGCTGTGTAATGTCTTTAAAAACAAATACTTTGTTCTCATTACAGCTAGCTTTTGTTTTTGGGGATGGGATCACATTAGGCAGATGCTTCTTGCCTATTAGACTCAAACAATAGTGGTTAGAATTCAGACCTAGGTGTAGGAAGCCATTGGTTGGTACAAATGTGGGCTTATTTATCACACAAACAGATACTACCAGTTCTATCACTCTTGCATGTAAAGTCTGGTAATTATTTTTATTGCTATCTAGCCTGATGAGTTGAGGTAGATACATTTCAAAACTTATAAAAGTAACATGGAATGACTCTTGAGAAAGCAATCAAAACTCATGGCAGAGGTAATATTTTTTTATTAGACCAACTAGAAACTGTGCGCCCAAAAGCTGGTCTAAAATCTCCCCCAGCAAACGGTTGGTCCAATAAAAGATATCACCCATAAAAACCTTGTCTCCATATTACAACACATTTATTAGTCATTATAGTTAATGTTTACCTTAATTCCTTTTTATGCTTGGCTTTTTTGCCATCCTGTTCTTTTTGTTGTGCAATTGAGCAGCTGTAATACAATCTTATTTAGAGTACTTAATTTGAATTACTGTATATTAAATATGTTCCCAAGCTCCAAGGAGTGAAGCATGGGACTTTTCTTTTTCTCTTCAAACCAGTCCCTGCTCTGCCAAATTACAAGCTGTTTCCATTAGGTAACTCCCTGCCTTCCCATAAATTCTACCCAGGTGACGCTCACAAGAAAATGATTTTGGCAAGGGCTCCTTGCATTAGCAAGCAGGTCAGGAAGATTCCTACATAGGAATCTCTGAAGTTCACAATGAGACAGATTCAGCTCTAGCACTGGCTGCTCCGTTGTGCCCAGCCAATGCACCAGCAATCCTAAACCTAATTTAACTGTGAGGTTAAGATGGCTTTAGAGCTGTTTGACACCACTACAGCAGCATAAAATACTGTGCACCAGTGAATTTCTCTCCTCATAGCTTCTGTTTGGCTCCAGTTAAGAATGCAAAGGATCAGGGGGCCCTTTGATTCAGCAGTGAAATGCTGGATATTTGGTGAATGAGGGGACATGTTCACAAAAAAATTTGGAAACGGTCCAAATTACACAACAGACCCCTTGTGTTATTGCATATAACGGTGACAGCTCTAAGATAAAGGCTCTTGTAACAAGTAATGCTGTGCGTATTATGTAACGTTGGCACAGGAGTTTCTATGGGTCTAATCCTGCATTCATTGAAATACTTGACAAAGCTCTCATTTATTTTAGTGAGTGTAGGTACAGCCGTGAGGCTAAGCCTGGGGTAAGCTTCTAAGTACCTGACTGTGTACTAGCTGCACCAGCTTGGATAATTCAGTGTAACTCGACTGAAGTCAATAGAGGTACATCGATTTCCAGCTGAGGTCTAGCCTCATATTTCTAGAAACTTAAACAGCCTTAGCTTAAGCATTACAAGGTAGAGAAAAACTGCTCCTTTGCTCCTGTCTGCTGAATGTATTCTAAACAGGACAGTGTTTATATTGAGGAGTGAAAGAAACTGGTGAATGTAAAACCTGAGGCAGGATCAGGCTTTTCCTTCCAGTTGTATAAATACCATGACATTAACTGAGATGCAGTGGACTTTGGAAGAGTATCCATTTGCTTCACTGTTATAATAAAGAAGCAGAGTTGGGTAATAGAGCAGATATAACTTGGATCAACTGGTCACATCCCTCATCCGACAGTACTGGCTTAGGACATACTTACACTGTAGTTGGAGGTATGTGTATGTTATAGATGAATCTTTAAACTGGCTTGCTGAGGTCATAGTAGCATAAACGTCATCTGTTCAGTAAATAGCCAAGGTCCCTTGTCAGATTGTAATGCTATACCTCCACTATTGGGGCACAAGATGACTAGTAAAAGCTAGGTCAGGCATGTCTATACATGCTGAAATCAGAGGGTTGATTGCAGTGTGGAATACCACTGGTTGCAAATCAGGTTAATCAAATAAAAGGACCTGCAGCTTTGCTTCAGATGTGATTTTAGGAATAAACATGATTTACAAGACTAACCTGTCCATCCCCTTTTAGCTTCAGTAATTTCTATTTGGTTGATGAAAAAATATATCATAGATTATTTCATATGAGGATCTGTCTCATATTTTTATTATCTACCCCTTTAAAAATAGTTACTAAAAATACTCTCTCTGGGCGCATCCAGACAAGTGTGCATGTGTGGTATGTGGCATTGCAGAACTATCTGCGGTGCCACAAACCACACACACTGCACATGCAGGCATTTGTTATTTTCTGCGTGGTAATTTTTTTTGACCACTGTTGTCAAAAAAAAAACCACGTGTGAATGAAGCGGGATGGTGCACATGACGGCAGTATGTGCCACCTGAAACCAGAGCCTGGCTGGCCAGTGGCACACTCCAGCTGCCAGCCATGCTCTGTGTGCTGGATTACCATCACTGGAGCCCCAAAAGGTCTCCAGGACCTCAGGTAAGGCTGCAGGGGCCAGCCCAGATGCTGGCCCAAGCCTCCACTACCCCACCTGGGGCAACTTGCCACATACCAGAGCGTGTGTACATGGGTGCTCCCTGGGGACAAGTAGCAGAGGCACAACTAAGCCGGTGGTGTTTGTCCCCAGGGAAATGCATATGCATGCTTGTTTGGGTGTGCCCTCTCTGTCTAATATGGGAATATACCATAAGAAGCTAAAAACATGGGCTGAGATTTTGATGTGACCCTTAGATTGCGGGAATTTAAGTATATTTTAATAGTAAGATTCTTTCGGGGATTAAAGGCCAAATTTACATCTTCTCTCAAGAAGACTGTAGCACATGAAATCTTTGTTTGAATACATGGTGTAATAATATACAGTTTCCTGAGACAGGCCATTTCTGTTTGAAAGGGAAGCAGAATTTGTAAATAGCTAACCTGCAGTAGGCCCAATTCCTGATTAACTGTGACAGAGCGGTTGGCTATTGGTTACTGAAGCTCCAAGCAGAAGTTTAAGTCACTTGAGCAATCAGCTCCTCCCACTCCACTTTTCTCAAATATAATAATTTTGTTTAAAAGGGTACTTGTCTGAGACCTACACAGGCAATTAAACTGCATGACAGGTACAATGCTGTATATACAAAATACATTTTTAAAAAGCCAGAGGAAGTGCTAATCCCCAAAAGCACCAGTTGCAGAATCAAACTCAATGGGCCCACATGTGTCTCTTGCAGCATCTCAGACCCCTTTGAGACACTGCAAGAGGCACGTGCAGGAATGGGAAAAGGTTCCCTGATCCCTGGATATCCAGGGGTCGAAAAAAATGGAGTGAAATAAAACCTGAGGCAACTGGAGGCTGGGTCCTCCACAGAGATACTCTGGTAGCAGCCAGAGTGTCTCTATGGCTGGCCCTTGACCTGGTGCTGAAGCACACTGCCTGCCCACCTGCAGCAGGCTGTTTGCCAGCTGCAGGGAGCTGGACCTGGGCTCCAGTGGTGGTAAGTAGGGGGTAGGAGGGCTGGAGGAGGGGGGAGGGGACCATGAAGGGATCCGTGCTGGCCACACCTGCTCCCCCAGCCTGCCAGATCCCTGCCCCACCCAGTCCCACCCCCCTGATGGCTGCCTCACCTGGCCCCATCCCCTGCCTGCCCCCGCAAACCCTTTCATCACTGACCTTGCCCCCCCAAATTAGCATCCCCACAATTAAAAAACAAACGACCAACCCTCCCTCCCCGGAAAAAACCCAGCACTCACCGGCACTATCAGCTGCCTGTCTGGGTCACTGCCTCCCCACCCTGCACAGTGTGGGACCAGGTGATAGCCCCAGCAGCCCCAGCCCAGGCCCCACTGCCCCATGCTGCCCTGTGGGGCTCTGCCTGGAGGCCTCAGAGCCCCCACAGCCCCTGCTCCTGTGGTGAATAGAGGCCTTTCTTTTTTTTTCAGTGCCAGAGGCTGGGCTGGAGGGGGCAGACATTGAGGGGGGGGGCTGCAGGAGCTGGTGGGGGATGGGTCCAGTCAGGGCAGCAATCTGGGGGGCTGGGGAAGCAAGCGGGGTGGGGGCATGTGGGCCCTGCAGAGGGTTGGTAGCTCCTGCAGGGGCTATTTGGCCCCTGTTGGGGGAGGCTGTGGCACCTGTGAGGCAAAACGTATAGGTATTTAGAATTCATTTTATGATGATGATAGAGACACTGGTAGGTTTCCAAATTGCTTTAACACCGTAGATATATCAATAACACATTGCCTAACTGATCACTGTCTCTCTGTCTAGCACTCTCTCTCTCTCTCTCTCTGTGTATATATATAGTGGTCTTTTGTTTTACTTGTGGAGGAACATGGATTTTGGGGTATTTTACAGAGTGACTTGGGGATTTTTTTATCAGGGTTTTTTCAGTTTTCCAGTAGGGAACACCAGAATTCCCGCTAGGGAGGCCAGTGGCAGGACCCTGCTTGCTCAGAGCTGGCACCTTGGACCCAGATGGAGGTGGCTGACCTCCTGGCCAATTGGGGCCAGGAGGACAGGCTTTGGCAGTTCAAAGCAGGCCACCACACTAGCAACATCTTTCAGGTGATAGCTGCCCAGATGGCTGGGCAGGGGCACACATGGCAGTAGTGCCACACAGAGGCCAACCCCAGGCAGGGAGCAGCCCCCACTGCCAGACTGCTACAATGGGTAGAGGGTGCAGGGAACTCTCAGGGCTGCTGCAGCAGTCCAGCTGGCACAAGGGATAGTGTCCCTGGGTACCAACTGGATGGGCCCCAGAAGCTCCTGAGAGTGAGTAGCTCTGAGCTACTTGCCAGGGCAGCTTTTTGTACTGCTGGGGCCAGGACAGGGCAGCTTTTTATACTGCTGGGGACAGCACAGGTGCTAGCCCCATGCTCTAGCTCCCCCTGGCTGCAGATCCAGGAGGAGCCAGGCAGGGTTATTTTGCCTCAAGTGGCACAATGTGTTGCACAACAAAGTGCGTGTCCAGGCATGTACACTGAGGAAAAAAGCCCCAGCTCAAATTTGCACTGCTTCTATTTGAAATGCTGCAAGCACACGTGTGAATGGACCCACTGAATTTTATTTCCCCCCCAAAGGATCCATTAATCAATATTGTAGAGTGCAAAAAAAGCAAAGGTAGAAGGAAAACTGAAACAAATCCAGTGGATTAAGAGACTAGTGGTCAACACTGCCAGTTGCTGGAGAAAACTGTGTTAACACCTAGGAATGCTTTAGCAACAATGGACATATCACTAAATCACAGAAGTGTAATATGCCAGTGCAAATATAGCTCATATAGCTGAACTTTTTCATTGATGCTAAGACCCAGATTCTGGTGTCCAGCACCTGCCTGTGCACACCAGCTCAGCAGAGCTGTTTGTTTACATTAGTGGCTTGAAGTTACCTTTATATTTCCTTGGAGTTTAATACAAAGATCATTGAAATGTGTTATAAAGATCCTAATGGCCGCAATGGGCCTTGATTCAGGCATCCTCTGATTACTGAGCTCATTGGGCCAGTTCCTGAACTTTCGAGTCAATGCAGATGTATCGTGTTGCACTACATGTGGAACAGGCCTGTTGACTTCATCTTGAGTTTTGGGACCATTCTTTTTATTCTAAGTGAATCTACCCTTCTCTTCAACACGAGGTATAGCTCATCTAATGTGTTTTCATTTTATGCAAGAGGCACCTGGTCCACAAAAAGATATCACCCTAAGAAATCCTTTTCCTCTTGAATAATCCCTGGACCATCATGGCAACAACAGCACTTTAATTCTTATTTTATGTCACTGTCTTTGGAGATCACAAGGTTCAATATTGTAGCTGGAATTTTATCAATACTATCTTAAGGGGCTATTTAAAGTTTTGTACTCCACCCATCAGAATGATAGCTGGATAAACCTAGGGCTGGGTATCTATTACTGCAACATTTATAGGCATGCCTACTCAGATACCATAAAATTAGTCAAATCTCTGACTTCACAAGGTAAACAGATTGCTGCAGAAGTCAGAGAGGAATTCTACTTTCATGTAGTGTTACACAATTGTTTTTGGTGCATTATCAGTTATTGCAGTACTATTGTTGCTTATGCAGGTATGGGAAGTAGACTAGGAAGCAGGAGTAGGAGCAATGTCCTCAAATTTCAAACAGAAAATTTAGGCTGGAGATTAAGAAGGCCTTTCTGACTGAGGTGGTTAAGCATTGGAACAGACTGCCTAGAGAGGTAGAATTTCTATCCCTGGAAATGCTCAAGATCAGGTTAAACGGGCACTTGGCTGGGACGGTTTAGTCAGGGATACTTCTACCTTGAACTGGTGTTTGTTGATCCCATGAGCTCCCTTCCAACTATACATTACTGTGATACAGAAACACAGTTACAAAGAATTCTTAATAGGGAAACCAAACACAAAAACAACAAACAGCACAGTTACACATACCATTTTGTGACAGAAACCAGTCTTAATTGTGAAGCCTTTATGCAGACTAGATTTACAATATCTCCAACGGAAACTGAAAGCCAAGGTAAAGACTTTACAAGATCTTGGCCATTGGGCTTTTTGGTTTCAATGTTTTAAACATTATAAACCCTAGTGCTGAAACAGGATAGTGCTCTCTGTGGTGATGTCTGTGGGATTCAGAACATAAGCAAGCAAAGATGATTAATAGTTTGGGGATGAACAAACAAAAAGACAGAATCTTAACTGAGTTAAAACACCGTAAAAATAATGAGCTTCAGAGAGGATTTGGTAAACGTGGAAGGCTATTAGAATCCAGAAGCTCTGAATTCTGGGTTTGGTTCCAAAGCTGGTTCACCTTATCAAGGGCCCTTAATTATGTCCATCTTATTTTCCCCATCTGAAACAATGAGGAGAATAATGCTGATCCACCTCACTGATGGTGTGACAAGTAGGCAGATAATGTTGGTAACACACTTTAAACATTAGAGGACCTGTGCGAAGAACGGAAATAGTAGATCCCTCCAGGCTTTCCTTTCTCTGCTAAACCTTTTCCCTTTCTTCTCCCATTCATCCATCCCTCTCTGCCAAACATTTCTCCATTTGGCAGGTGCTGCCTGACACAATGGCCATAATACAGAGGATGACAGGGAATGATTGCTTTGTTATTTTCTGTACAGCTGTTAGCTTGGTGGAGCTTTGGTTAGGCTTTCTAGCTGTTATCACAATAGAAATAGTAGTGGAGTAAATGATAATTATTATACTGAGTCTTATATTATTAAGTAATTATTTTAAAATAATAATATAGATTAATTTCTATATAGATTTTCTCATTCATGAAAATCTCTTCTTTTATATTTACAGTACATATGGGATAAAAGTGAGCTTTTTTTGTTCAAGTCATCAATTGCCTATGCCATGAGAAAGTATTTCTTAGAGGTCAAGAATGAGAACGTTGACTTCCAGTAAGTTGAGTTGTTTGGGTTATTTTACAATCCTTATTTGGCTCAGTAGGGATATATGTTGGCAACAGGCCTCCTATGTAATGTAACAAGAGGAAGTTATATTAAAAGACACACAAGGACATTTGCTGGTCATAACAGGAGAACCCTTGCTTTCCTGCCTGCTGCCTAAGTTTCAGAACTCTTGATGGAAAGAAAAATGTCACCCATGCAGGAAAATAGATCATGATTTATTTATGGCTGATACAGGAGATTATGTAGTTTACTGCTAGTGGTGAGATCTGTCTTTAAGAATTTCTGCTCAAATGCCAGACAAGGAATAAGTGTAAGCTATGAGATCTCTTCTAGAATGAGAAAAGTAAATTAGAGTTAGAAATAAAGAATGAAATTATATGAAACCCAATGCAATAATAAACTTACATTTATGATGATGAATTTTCAAGTGATTTTGGAGCCTCAAAAGGTGAACAACTTGATTAGAATGAAATGAAAACCTACTTAGGATAAATAAATTCTACCCTAATCTAATTTTATTTACAAATGTACAGTCCTTATTCATTTAGTTTGTGAATAGAAATGGGTATAACATATAACTCTTTCTAGGTCTCTCAGGATAACTTTCTGAAGCTATCAATACTTCTTAATTATTTGCTCATATTTCAAGGACATTGATCACCCTAATGTCTTGGCTGTATTCTAATAAGAGTGTATGTGCAAAGAGATGGTCATTTTTATTCAGTTACTCATAGTAAAAGAAGGGTCAAAGCTCCCCAGCTCTTTGAGGGCAGCCCCTTTCTTTTATTTTTGGCAAAGTGAAAATTATGCTGCTTGGAGTCCTCAGTCCTGGGGCAATGACTCTGCGTGAAATATTATTTAATAAAAAAAAGAGGAATCTCCAAGGTGACAATAAAAACAATTCCATTATCTATCTGTGGTCGCACATTTTTGTATATAGTAAATTCAAAAATTCTATTCCTCTTATTTTCAAGTTGATTACAGCTTTCTTAATCATGAAAACATTTCTTGTATGTCATTTAGGAGTGAAGATATCCACGTAGATTCTGTGACACAGAGAATCTCCTTCTCTTTCATTGTCAGCATGCCTGGAAATACCAGTAATGTTGTTCCCAAGTCTGATGTGGAACAAGCTATCAGGTGATTTTTTTTTTCTTTTAGTGAAAGTAGGATGGAGGGTGAAAAAAATGCTCAAGTTGTTTGAGAGAGGTGCTATAAGAAAGTGTTTTCTGCAACTAGAATAGGGAAAAGTTACAACAAGATAATTTGTTGCAACAGAAAAGACCAATTGTCCCTCTATTCTGATGATGTCGTAGTAGCTGGTATACAATGATTCAAGGAGGCTGGAAAATCTTCTTGTCAAACTGCCATGATTGAGTGAAGATGGTGAAATATAGAATCCAGAATTTCCAAAAAGGAAACAGAGATGTAATTAAGGCCCTAGTTGTATACAGGATATTGAGGAGCTGAGAAGCAAAAAAAACAAAGAGGGAGATTAGGAGAATGTAAAATCAGAAAGTCTCCTGTCTTCCTTTGGGTTGGCCATCAAAATTGAGTATTAAGACTGCATAAAGTAGCATCAGATCTTTAACTGTCACTTATGGTTGCAACAGAGATTGTAGGATATAGTTACCATCTCTGTATCGGAAGCTTACATAGCCTGTCTGTCTTCCAACTGTGTCACATCAGGAAGGAAAGTAGTTTATTGTTCCTTTACTTGAGCAGCTCCATCAAATGAAGAGTTCAATGGAAGTTTAAGCTATTTAGAAGATTAGAAGGAAAGCAGAATACTTTTACATGTCTCTGTTAAATATATGAATCTATTTTTTTTTCCTTTTGATGGCAGAATGTCTCGTGGAAGAATCAGTGAGGCTTTCAAACTGGATGACAAGACGCTTGAGTTTGAGGGCATTCTTCCAACACTGACCCCACCATTTGAACCACCTGTCACCATATGGCTAATAGTGTTTGGAGTAGTCATAGGCATTGTAGTAGTTGGAATCATTGTCTTGATCTTCACTGGGCAGAGAGACAAAAAAAAGTAAGTTTCATTTTAGATAGTGCATGTGATCAGGGTGAGTACAAAGTTAGCAGCAAAGAATACTGAAGAAAGTCCTGGACAGCTTTTCACCAAACCTAAATTGTCTTTTCTGTTCCATGCTGCCCTAAAACAATGGAGAATCTGATGTACATTGTGATTTGCATAGGGTTTGTTTGTTTGTTTTGCATAAGAATTTATCTATACTTTTGATCCAGTATTGATACAACAGAGATTAGTCTGTTGTTCATGGTGGGCTTGCTGTTCTTCTTATTAAAGTCAGTGGGTGCAGTGTGATTCATTTTGGCACATTACATATACTACCTTGCTGAAATCCAAAATAAGTTGAGCAAAGTAAGAAAAATATATAAAACAGAGCTAGACACTCCCACATATTAACAGATTATTTTTATTTACAGGAAAAAGAAAGCAAAAGCAAATGAACTGGTAAAATGTGACCTGAGTCATCTTTCCTCTGTTGGTGGAGAAAACAATGCTGGGTTTGAACCAAGTGAAGATAGACAAACATCATTTTAGAAGATAATGTGGATTTTCTATTTAAGTTTTTGTTTTCATATTGGTTTTGACAACACTTCAGGGGAAAGGACAAATAATACAGATGTCATTAAGCATTATAAGGCCTGATATTTTCAAGAAACTACCCATACACAGTCTAAGGCAACTAAATGACTTGTTTGCCATTTAAGGATTAAATATATGCTGCACAGAAATGCAACATGTACGTACTTTTTTGCCTTTGTCTGAATATTATTACATTACTACTCATCCATCAGCTAGCTATATTCAGTTTCTTGCTATTTCTTTTATATGCCTATATTCCCAAGGGTTTATAAGTTAGCTGCCTGTGGGTCAAGGACAGATATATATAAGTGGTAGTTAATTATTTTATAAGACACTGGTACTATCCAACAGAAAGATGGAAAATAAGAATCTAGCATGATGATCAGCTGGAAACAAGCTCTAGTAGTAAGCAGGCAAATACTTGCATTTGAAATAAAATGACTCTACCTTTTCCATGGGAATTAATGTCAAATCTGAGGAGAAATGTAAAGACACACAGGAAATTAAAAGAAGACATGTCATGGCATTATAACTTGCCCAACTGGCTGGCATGATAAGTATGGTATGGAAACCAAATAGCCAATATTCTCTGGAATCTTTCTTTGGGTTATGCTAAAAATGAAACCAACTGTATGATTGTGTTTGGGAATAAACTGGCAATAATTTAATGTTTCATTACAAATATATTTAAGAATTTGCTTCCTCTGTTGGACACATCAGAATCTTATATGAATGTTTTAGTTGTATGGTTATGATTTGCAGACTGACTTCTTACATAACTTTATTTCTTTTATATAACAGCTTATCTTATATTGTTGTATTAAACTTTCCATTGGGATACATATTTTTGACATCTAGAGTGCAGGACAAGGCTGAGTTCCAGGGCTGGCTGGAAAACAAGATATCCCACTTTGTGGCAGAAAAATCAAACGTTCACCATGTGTTTTTGTTCTGCATTGGTACAAAACTGAGAGCTTTTAAAATGCTAATGAAGAGAAGAGGTCCTGGAGTAGCTAAGTGGTTTGCACGCTCACCTGATTTGACCTTGGTGCTCTGTGATATACTGGGTGATTGCTCCAGCTAACAGGTTAACTGGGGAGGGAGCTTTGCAATTCTATACCACGTGGGCTCTGGGCAAGCCAAGAGACCATTAATACAAATTTCCCTGATTGGCAAATCTAGTAAAAGTGTTAGAGGCAAAATCTTGGCCTCTGTGTAGCTTTTCATAGCACCATAGAGAAGTAGGGCTGAGAGGTCATCTAGTCCAACACTGCCTGAGGTAGGATCATCCCTATACAAACCATCCCACACAAATCCATTGTCTAACCTCTTAGTGAAACTACATAGTCAACCAAAGTTGCACACAACACAAGACATAGCATTCTAACATGCTGCAGGTAAAGCAGGGGGACCATGGTGACCATAGTGCCAATGTTCTGCTGCTACAAGGGTGTTACAATAAAATCTTGCTCAATAGACCCTGAGTGTCGGGGAAAGACCCTGTAGCCAGGAGGGGTTTAAGTCCCACCAGAAGCACTGGCACATCCCAATCAAAATCTCAATGCATTAGAGGAAGTCTTTAAAAGAAAAAACAAAACAAAACAAAGAAACAATGGAAAAAAAACTGACACATGCAGCAGTAGGGTTCTCTCCTGGCCTCATGCAGCATCTAGCAAAGCCCAGAAGAATGGGAAATACCCACAGAAGGACATAGGAATAGCTATGCCTAGATCATCCCTGAACAGGGGCTGTCTAACCTCTTCTTGAACAACTCCAGTGATAGGGAGTCCACAATTTCACTAGGCAGTCTATTTTACCGCCTCACTGTTCTAACAGTGAAGACATTTTTCTTGATATTCAGTCTAAACCAACTTTGCTGCAACTTCAATAGATTTCTTTGGGGAGTGATGGTATACTAGGGAGCAGGAAAAGCACACAAAGTAAAAGACTTACCCACAAGTGGTCCCTGCATTGAGTGGTACCGAAAATAGTGTGACAAAGGTGCTGTAACAGTGGGGCCTTTCCCTTTAAGACGTGGCAGCCAGCTTGGCTGAGGGGCTGCAGCTGTGAAGGCTAATGGGGGGAGAGGGGATGCTGGGAGTCAAAAACACTAGCAAGCAGAACTAGGGAGAGGCACATGGGAGAAACATGAGAATGGGGAATTGCTGGGCTACGTGGAGGACATGCCCACTGTAGGAATGCCAGAGTCACATGGACCTCTCCCAGTGTTTTTTGTTTGTTTGTTTGGTTGGTTTCTTTTGTTGGGTTTGGTTTTGATTTTGTTGCTTAATTTTTTAAAAGACTGTATAATACTGGTGTGTGCTGGAGATGCCTCAGGGAGAAAAAGCCAGCTGTTTTAAAAGACACTGTTTATTACTGGGGCTGCCTGAGAGATGCTAGGGGAGAAAGCGCCTGGTTGAAGAAGTCCGGAGGTGGCAACCTGCTACAAGTACTTATTGCACATAAGCTTGTGCAGTCATCTGTACACACCAGACATGACTCAACCACCATTATCTTAGCATTTTTGTTTTCACTACAAGGGATTCACTATAATGAACGTAGGAAATGCACAGGCTGTATTTATAAAAGGACTTTGGCTTCTAAATCCCATCTAAGCACTATCTTTGGTGCTGAACGCCAACCTGTAGCCTAACAAGATGAGTTGGTGCCTGGAACAAACCCTACAGGAGGCTGGGGGGATGCAGTTCCAAGAGTGGGGACAACACCCTTGCACATGCTGGGAACTCCAAGATAGTCCCTAGTCGAGCTGCTGGTGCTGCCACCACATGCTCTGCCTATCCTGGCTGTTGCTCCTAAAGCAGTAGCAGCCAGGAACTGTTTTGGAATTCCCGACATGGACTCTGCAGAGGCAGGGCACAATTCTGGCACCCCTTCTAACTTGGCACCTGGGGTGCATGCCTCAGCCATTCCTAATTATGCAACTTGGAGCCTCAAAACCTTGCTCTACAGCTATCTAACCTTAGGAATATGTACATTTAACCAGTAAAATTTCTCAGGTATCTACGTATCTGGGTTAGGACCATGACCAGAACTACTTAGATTCCGACAACCAGGCACCTTGTTCACAACTAGGTTCCAAGGACTAGGCATTTCCCAAACTCTCTTGCATTTGAAGCCTGATCCTATAGGTATTTATAGTCTGGAGAAAAGAAGACTAAGCGGGGGATTTGATAGCAGCCTTTAACTTCCTGAAGGGTGCTTCCAAAGAGGATGGAGCTAGACTGTTCTCAGTGGTGGCAGATGACAGAACAAGGAGCAATGGTCTCAAGTTGCAGCAAGAAAAGTTTAGATTGAATATTAGGATAAACTTCCTCTCCAGGAGGGTGGTGAAACACTGGAACAGATTACCTAGACAGGTGGTGGAATCTCCATCTTTGAAGGTTTTTAAGGCCTGGCTCGACAAAGCCATGGCTGGGATGGTCCTGCTTTGAGCAGGGGGTTGGACTAGGTGACCTCCTGAGGTCCCTTCCAGCCCTCATTTTCTATGAGTCTATGACTTTTAAGGGCACATGCATGTGATGCAGAGTCCTCTACAAAACAGAGCAGCAAAGTGACATTTAACTTTAAATGTTTTTTTACTTACAAAAAACCTGTGTTGGACAAGTGCATCCAAAATGACAGATGATACAATCAATACAGAAATATTCAGGCACTGGTATTTTCTCCACAGAGGTTGAAAACTGAAGGGCTAATGAGAGTGTCATGCTCTGTAATTATGACATCAGAAATCATGCTAACCAAGCATTAGAACATGCATTTCAGAAGCACATCTGGAATCACCAGTAGCATTGAGATTGGAGCAGCATTGTAGATCAGGACAAATGAAGCATGCAAGTTTAAAACCCTTGCACAAGCTGCAGTGCACAATGTTTTACTAGGTTTATAATAAATGGCGTTGTGATATATCTTACTGGTGCTCTCTGCAATAATCAACTCAACCAAGTAAGAACACAGTGCAGTGCTTGATGTCATTGGTTTCTTCATTCCATAAAAATTAAGGGAACTTTTTTTCACTGTCTTTACTGGGGCTAGCATTTGACCTTTAATTTTAGTTGATTTTTGACTTGGACCAATAATTGACCAGCAGGTAATCTTTCTATTTTATGAATGTTTCAATAGAATGGTATTGGATGCTCAGATGAAATGCTGTTCTGAGTTAATTACCACAAATACAACTGACAGAGTAGGCTTGAACACCAAAACTGCATACATGCACGTAGGTGGGTGTGTGCATGTACACACAACTAAAAACTCACACCCACAGATTATTCAGCTCATATCATTGGAGCATATGTCACAATATTGTGTTTTGATTGTCAGGTTCTGAAATCTATGTTTGAAAGCTGCTTATTTTGAACTTTCCATCTACCTCTGTACCTTGTTCTGCTTTTCAGTTCAAACAACCAGCTCTTTGCAAAAAAATCCAAGTGTGTAATGTGCCGTCCATGTTGTAATATCACCAGATGCCTTGTGGTAATTCCATCAGCAATGCAAATTAGGAGATGCAGGCTGCAAATCAGACAGTAACCACACCTGTCTATAAGTAGCACACGAATTCCAGTCAGTTAAAGTCAGAAACATCTTATCCAGGGGTGGGAAATCACATTAAATGTATTTGAAAACAGTTCCTCATCAACTGAATTTTAGTAAACTGAATTTGGGTTTCTCTTTGCAGCACTGAACAAACCTCTTCTCATATATATTTAGGGATGCGCACCACTATGCATCAAGCTGTATGACATTTGCAATCAGATGCAAAGTTACAAGACAACAGTCATAGGATTCTGATACAAGCACCTTCCAAAACTCATTTGATATGCTCCACTTGATACCCTTTGAGAAAGGGGACAAAGGATATAGATACAAGCTGTTGGGATGTAACAGTTACATCTTCACAATTCTGTAGTGATACAAGTCCGACAAAGCCACTTCAGCTGTTCCCCTGCTTCATCAGAGGTCAAAGTGAGGGCAGCTTACTTCATTTGTCTCCCAACAGGCTGATACAGATGTAACATTTAAGTCAGGGGTAGGCAAAATATGGCCCACGGTCAGGTGGTTAGATCTGGCATGCGTGTGGCCACCTTCCAAGTGAATGGTTCTGGCTCATGGGCAGGTGGTGGCTCCAGCTCAGGCATCCAC